ACTATCAGCATAATTGAGCATATCAACAACAAAACTAACAGAAATCATACAATCATCTTAATAGATGCAGAAAAAGGCATTTGACAAAATACAACAACCATTCTAATTAAAAAACACTAAAGAGCATAGGAATAAATGGAACCTTCCTTAAAATGATAGGCAGCATCTATCTAAAACCATCATCAATCATTATAAGTAATGGGGATAAGCTAGAATATTTCCATTAAAATCAGGGGTGAAACAAGGATGTCCATTATTACCAGTGTTATTAATATAATACTAGAAATGCTAGCTTTAGCAATGAGATAAGAAAAAGAAATTGAAGGAATTAGAATAGGCAATGAAGAAACAAAGGTACCACTCATTGCAGATGACATGATGGCATACTTAGAGAATCAAGTAAAAAATTACTTGAAATAATAAACAAATTTAGCAAAGTTGCAGGATACAAAATAAAGCCACATAAATCACCAGCATTTCTATATATTACTAATAAAGCCCAACAGCAAGAGAAACAAAGAGAAATTCCATTTAAACTTATTGTGGATGTTATAAAATATTTGGGAGTCTACCTACCAAAACAAACTCAAGAACTAGATGAACACAATTACAAAACACTTTTCATACAAATAAAGTCAGATCTAAGTAATTGGAAAAATATCAGTTGCTTATAGGTAGGCCAAGCTAATATAATAAAAATGACAATTCTAACTAAATTAATTTACATATTCAGTGCCATAGCAAGCAAAATACCAAAACATTATTTTATAGAGTTAAAAAAAAAAACAATAACAACATTTATCTAGAAGAACAAAAGTTCCGGAATATCAAGGAAACTAATGAAAAGACATGCAAGAGAAGGTGGCCTAGCTTACCAGATCTTAAATTATATTATAAAGCAGCAATCATCAAAACTACTTGGTACTGGCTAAGAAATAAGAGTGGTAGATCAATGGAATAGGTTGGGTATGGAAGACACAACAGTTAATGACTGTAGTAATCTACTATTGATAAATTCAAAGACTCTAGCTTTTGGGGTAAGAACTCACTATTTAACGAAAACTGCTGGGAAAACTGGAAAAAAGTATGGCAGAAACTAAGCATAGACCAACAGCTTACATCCTATAAAGTCAAAATGAGTGCATGATTTAGATGTAAAGACTGATACTATAAGCAAACTAGGAGAGCAAGAAATAGTTTACCTATGAGATCTGTGGCAAAGGGAAGAATTTATGACCAAACAAGAGGTAAAGAACATTATGAAATTCAAAATGGATGACTTTGATTACATTAAATTGAAAAGTTTTTGCACAAACAAAGCCAATGCAACCAAAATTAGGAGGGAAGCAGAAATCTGGGGAGCAATTTTTATAGCCAGTAAGTCTGATAAAGGCCTAATTTCTAAAATACATAGAGAACTGAGGTGAATTTATAAGAATACAAGTCATCCCCCAATTGATAAATGGTCAAATGATATGAACATGCAGTTTTCAGAGGAAGAAATTAAGGCTATCTATAGTCATATGGAAAAATGTTCTAAATCACTATTGATTAGAGAAATGACTCTGGGGTACCACATTACACCTATCAGACTGGCTAACATAACAAAATGGGAAAATTATAAATGTTAGAGAAGGTGTGGGAAAATTGGAACACTAATGCATTGTTGGTGGAGTCGTACTGATCCAGCCATTCTGGAGAGCAATTAGGAACTATGCCCAAAGGGCTATAAAATTGTGCATACCCTTTGACCTAGCAATACCACTTCTAGGTCTGTATCCCAGAGAGATCATAAAAACAGGAAAAGGACCCATATGTACAACCATGTTTATAGCAGCTCTTTGCATGGCAAACAATTGGAAATTGGAAATTGAGGGGATGTCCATCAATTAGGGAATGGCTGAAGAAGTTAAGTTATGTGAATGTAATGGAATACTATTGTGCTATAAGAAATGATGAGAGTCAGACTTCTGAAAAACCTGGAAAGACTTGTATGAACTGATACTGAGTGAAATGAGCAGAACCAGGAGAACATTTTACACAGTAACCACAGCATTGCGCAACTTTGATAGACTTAGCTCCACTCAGCAGTTCAAGGATCTAAGACAACTCCAAAAGACTCATGATGGAAAATGCTATCTACATCCAGAAATAGAACCATGGAGTCTGAATGCAGATGAAAGCAAACAATTTGCTCTCCTTTTCTTTTGTTGTTTTGTTTTACTTCTTTCTCGTGGCTCCTCCCATTAATTCTAATTCTTCTATACATCATTACTAATGTGAAAATATACTTAATTTGAATGTATAAGTACAGCCTATATTAGATTATATGCTGTCTTGGGGAGGAGGAGGAGAGAGAGGGGGAGAATATTTAAAACTCAAAATCTTATGGAAGTGAAGGTTGAAAACTAAAAATAAGTAAAGCATTTATTAAAAAGAAAGTTCCTAAACATCTTTCATCTTCAAGGGGGCATATTTCCATCAACTTCACCACTCAATGCAAAGTGGTCAGTCAACAAAGCTACCTTGGCCTGCTCACTTGAGAGTATGCAGGACTTCACCTTCAACACTAGGTGGCACAATTTCAAGGCAGCAAAGTTTCCAGCTATCTCTAGAATACCAAAAGAGGATGGGAAGATAAATTGCTGACTCCTTCAGGGTCACCAGATGTGAAGAGCAGTTGATGTGACCTTCATGGGTTAATTTTCTTGCTCTGTTTATCACTGAGTGCTTGGAGATCCTTGGCTTGATGCTCTAAGTTGGTACCACCACTTCCATCCCACCTCCCTAACAAACTATCACAAGTAGCAGGGAAGGAGGGCACTTCCAGAATAACTCAGATATTACAGTCTCTCTATGGATATGCTAATGGATGTGGCCTGCGTCATTCTGTGGCTCCCTTCCCCTTGGGTCATCTCTTCAAGCACCAGAACTAGAAGGAGTTCAGAATCATCCCAACTAAGTTCTATGAGATAGAATTTGATCCTACAACTTTTCATCACTGATCTCTTCTGCTGGACTTCCACAAGTGATAGACTCTAGGCGCAAGCTTATTCAGTGTCCCCATATGCTGCCTCATTCATGTAGGTCTCTATATCACGCACCAATTCAGTCACTCCTTCACTTTACCTTTCCTAACACAATACTTTCATCCCAAATTTTCCATACCATTGACTCCTCCCATTCTTACAGAATATACTCTCAGGGAAATCATCCTTACACCAAGTCACTCACCAAATGCTGTCTTCAACACTCTCTCACAGATTTTCACACTCCTTCTACAATCGCTCGTCTTTTCTCAACACAAATGATAGCTAGAAAGCCATCCATGCTCCCACAATCACCAAGCCTAGCCTGGTCTCTAGCTGCTTGTGACCAAAGCCAGTCCTAAGGTTATATTCTGATGTTTGTCGATTGTCCCTGCAGAATTACAAACACCTGTAATTGTAGAGCATGTCTGCTCTTCTTTTTTTCTCTAGGCTTCATAATTTCCTAATAGGATAGACTTTTAGGATTATGTATCCCACTCCTTTCATTTTACAGATGGGAAAATTGAGACCAAGAGAACTAAAATGTAACTGTCTTTAAATCAAAAGGGAAGACTTGGGAAGGACTTGATTATGTTATTCAAGTATCTGAAAGGCTATCATAAGAGAAGAAGGATTCAACTTGCTCAGCTTGGCTCCAGAATAGATCTGGAATCTATAAAAGGAAAAAAATACTGATAATTAAAACTGTCTAGCAACAGGAAGGCCACCTTAGGGGCAGTGAGTTCCCTGTGATCAGAGATTGTCAAGAAGAAGTTGAATGAATATGGAAAGCAGTAGAGGGGGTTTCCTATTGAAGGGAAGAATGGACAAGATGGCAGCTGAGATCCCTTCAACCTCAGAGGTTGTGATTCTATATTAGTGGCAGAGACAAAAAAAAGGCTTAGATGCTTGACTCCCAGGACTACGCTGCTTCCAAATTACCATGCTGACCTTCATTGAAAGTTCTCACCACAGAGGGAAACTCTCTTTAAAATAACAGAGTAAGCCAGGCGTGATGTCCCACACCTATAATGCTAGCTACCAAGGAGACAGAGGCTGGTAGATTGCTTAACTCTGGAGTTCTGTATTGCAGTAGGACTAAAGTTTAACACTAATATACTCTTAGCGACATGACTGAAATGCCTCAACAACAAAACTCCTGATGAGCCCCCAGGAATAGAGGAGGAGGGTGTACCAGGTTACATAAGAGGGATGAACCAGCCCAAGTCAGAAGCATAGCAGGCCAAAAGTTCCTATGCCGATCAGAATGGGAGCAGGCCTGTGAGTAGTCCCTGCACGTCTAACTTGAGCGTATTAAAGGAATGGATGGAAGGGAGGAAGGAAGGAAGGAAGGAAGGAAGGAAGGAAGGAAGGAAGGAAGGAAGGAAGGAAGGAAGGAAGGAAGGAAGGAAAGGAGAAAGGGGGAGGGGAGAGAGAGAGAGAGAGAGAGAGAGAGAGAGAGAGAGAGAGAGAAAGACAGGGAGAGGGAGAGGGAGAGTGAAGGAGAGGGAGAGGGGTAGAGTCAAGAAACTTCCTAGATCAACTAGGCTTCAAGTTAGAAGGGGCAACCTAAGGAATACATCTCCTACTCCGCAAGTGGCTGGCCTGCCTTTATATTTGATTTCTACGAGTGTAGGGGCAGCTAGGTGGCACAGTGGATAGAGTGCTGGGTCTGGAACCAGGAACACTGAGTTCAAATCTGGCCTCAGACACTTAATAGCTATGTAACCCTATACAAGGCATTTAGCCCTGTTTGCCTCAGTTTCCTCATCTGTAAAATGAGCTGGAGAAGGAAATGGCAAACCACTCCAGGATCTTTGCCAACAAAATCCCAAATGAGGTCATGAAGAGTTGGACACAACTGAAACAACAAAAACAAAGCAAAGCTCTGATTGTTAAAAAGTTCTTCTTTCTCTTGCCTGGGAGAAAAGAGAACTTGATGTTACAGAGAGTGAAGAATAAGGACTTTACCTTGAAGGATCCAGTTGATGAAACCGGCTGGGAAAGATTTGTCCTGCAGAAAGGAAAACACAAAGTAAGAAAAAGATCTTATGGCTCAGTGCCATGATGGCAGCCTGGCTTGCTTGCCATCTAACCTCATAGTTCCATATCCTCAACCTCAACACCTCTAAGAAGCATTCCAAGACAAGCCCTGCTCCTCTCTGCCTCTTTTTCTCTGAGCCCCCTTAGCAACCACATATTCACTGTGTACTGTCACTGTGCCAAAACTCTTGGCAGTTGTTTTAAAAATATTTTGTATGCATATTTTACTGCTCGTTCTCTAGCAGGCATTGGCAGTAGTAATAGTAGTAGTAATAGCAGTGTAGTAATTGTAATAGACTAGTAGTAGTAGTCATAGTAATAGCAGTGGTATTAGTAGTGGCACTAGCAGTAGTTATTGTTGTAATAGTAGTAGTTAATAGTAGAATGCAGTAGTAATAAACTAGTAGTAGTAGCACTAGTAGCAATAGTGGTACTAACAACAACAATAACAACAGCTCTCCTTTCAGTAGCACTTCAAGGTTTATAAAGCACTCCCCTCACAACAAACTTGTAAGGTAGATAGTATGAGTAGTAGTATAGCAACTTTATAGATGAGAACACTGAAGTCCAAAGAGGTTGCATGACTTGCCCACAGCCACACAGCTAGTATTAGTGCCAGAAGTCAAACCCAGGTCCAATGGACTTGGATTCAGGAAGACTTGAGCTCAAATCCTGCCTCGGTCATTTAGTAGCTGTGTGGCCCTGGGCAAGTTACTTAACTTCTATTATTATTATTATCTATTATTAACCTCTATTACCTAAGTATCTTCATCTGTAAAATGGGGATAAGAATAGCACCTACCTCTCAGGCAGGTTGGTTTTGAAGATCAAAGGAAATAAAATGTAAAGGGCTTTGCAAAAGACGCTGTGATATAAGTACCAGCTACTGTTGTTGTTATTGTTGTTCCATAGCTGTTTTTTCTTTCCACCTCCCCTAAGGTACCCAGTTATACTGAGCATCCCACATAGGGTTTTAAGCTATTTCACCACATTCACTCATTCAATCACCACAATAGTCCTAGGAGGGAGGTAACACAAGAATTATTATCTTCATTTTTTGAAGAGGGAAACTGAGGCCCAGAATGAAAAATGAGCTTGCCTGAGGCCATACTCTATCCATAACAGAGATAGTGTTCAAGCCCAGGACTTCTGACTCTTCAACCAAAGCTCCTTCCGCTATATCTGGCCTTAGAGCTCTTTCAGTCCATGTCCTTTGTTTCTCATACATTTCTTACATGAGAAACATGAAGCCCAGAAGAGGACATGACTAGTCCAAGATCAGGAAAAGAGTATATGCAAGAACTGAGACTGGAACCTAGTCTCCTGAGTTTCAGGCTGGGGTTCTTTGCAGTACCCCACATTGCTTCCTATATCTGATTCTACAGAAATGATTGCTTGACTGTCTGACAAAAGAGATGTAGGGAAGTATGTGTCATGGTCAGAATGAAAGGCTATAAAAGAACCTAATAAATAGCATATACCTTAAAGTCTAGGTCATAGGAATATCCAGCTGATGAGGGCATCTTGGTGAGAGCAGAATGAAGTTTTCTAAGCAAGCCAGTGGTGTATAGATCTGAATGGAAGGAGCAAGAGAAACCAGATTAGGGGCAGAAACCAAGTCTCTAAACAATACTGGCTCATGAACAGGCCAGCTACCCATTATGTTGCAGCCCCTAATGTGGCTTAACATCTCTCTAAGTCCTGAATTTGAAGTGAGAGGATCTGGGTTTGAATCCTTGTTCTGCACTTATTTGTTGTGTGACCTTGGGCAAGTCCCTTCCCCTATCTGGGCTGCCTTTTGCTCCCCTGTATAATAAGGTAGCTTAATTGGATGACTCTAAGTCAGTCAGTCAATCAACAGGCAGTCAATTTAAAGTACTTACAATGTGTCAAACTGTGTTTCATAAGCTCATAGATTTAGAACTGGAAGGGATTTTAGAGGCCAACAGGTACAAAACCTCTCATTTTCCAGATAAGGAAACTAAGCCACAGAGATGTTAAGTCACTTGCCCAGGATCACATAGCTAGTATCAAATGCAGGACTGAAACTCAGGTCTACCTGGCTCCAAGTACAACTCTAATCACTATGCCACCTAGCTGTGCTAACTTCTAGGGATGCAAATGAAAAAAAAAGTCCCTCCCTTCAAGGAGCTCACATTCTAATGGAGGAGGGGATAGAGAGAGCAAGTAAATAGCTATATAAACAGACAATGTATTGAGATTAGGTAGCAGGTTATCTGGAAGGAAGGTACTAGCAACTGGCAGGACCAGGAAAGGCCAAAAAAGCAGTGACCATAGCTCTCCCATGATCACACCACCTTGGAAACACCAAAAACTTACAGATCTTGAGAACTTACTCTAAGAACAACAGCATAAAAAAAAAGCCTGAAGCTTGGGACAGTACCTCCCCACACCTAGGTGAGCAGAGCCCAACTTTAACATAAAGTTCAAAGTCAGAAATAGACTGGAAAATGAGCAAAAAAAGAAAAAAAAAAGAACTCGACCATAAAAATCTGCTATGGTGCCAGGGATGACCAAGATACAAATTCACAAGGAGACAATAACATGAAAATTGCTACAAGCAAAGACTTCAAAGGAAATGCTAATTGGACCCTAACCTTACAAGAATTCTTAGAAGAGTTTAACATAGAGAGAAGAGTGAAAAGGGGAAAATTGGGAAAAAATTAGTTGCAAGAAAATTATGAAAAGAAAATAGGTTGGTTAAAAGAGGCACAAAAATACTGAAGAAAATAACACCTTAAAAAACAGAATTAACCTAATGGTAAAAGAGGCACAAAAATTCACAGAAGAAAAGAAAGTCTTTAAAAAAGCAAAATATGGGAGCAGCTAGGTGGTACCGTGGATAGAGCACCAGCCCTGGATTCAGGAGGACCTGAGTTCAAATCCTGCCTCACACACATAACACTTACTAGCTGTGTGACCCTGGGCAAGTCAGTTAATCCCATTTCCTAGCCCCCTTCCCTCCCCCCTGCCAAAAAAAAAAAGCAAAAGGCAAAATAGGCCAAATGTAAAAGGAGGTGCAAAAATTCACTGAAGAAAAGAACTCCTTTAAAAAACAGAATTGGCCTAATGGAAAAGGAGGTACAAAAACTCACTGAAGAAAATAATTTCTTAAAAATTAGAATTGGGCAAATTGAAGAGAATAATTCCATGGACGTCAAGAAACAATAAAACAAAGTCAAAGGAATGGAAAAAAAAAGAAGAAAATATGAAATATCTCATCAGAAAAACAATTGACATGGAAAATAGATCCAGGAGAGATAATTTAAGAATTATTGGACTATATGAAAGCCAAGATGAAAGAAAGAGCCTAGATATCACATTTTAAGAAATTGTCAAGGAAAACTGTGCCAATAACTTAGATACAGAGTGTAAAATAAAAATTGAAATAATCCACTGATCACCTCCTGAAAGAGATCCCAAAATGAAAATTCCCAGGAATATCATAATCAAATTCCACAGCTCCCAGGTCAAGGAAGAAATACTGCAAGCAACCAGAAAGAAAAAATTCAAATATTGTGGAAGCATAGTCAGAATCACACAAGATTTAGCAGCTTCCATGTTAAAGGAGAGGAAGGTTTGGAATGTGATATTCCAGACAGCAAAAGAGCTAGGTTTACAACCAAGCATAACTACCCTACAAAACTGATTGTAATCCTTCGGGGGGGAAAGTGAATATTTAACAAAATAAAGAACTTTCAAACATTCCTAATAAAAAGAATAGAGTTCAATAGAAAATTTGACATTCAAACACAAGACTCAAGGGAAGCACAAAAAGTAAACATAAAAGAGTAATCATAAGGGTCTCAATAAAGTTAAATTGTTTACATTGCTATATGGGAAGATGATACATGTAACTCCAAAGAATTTTATCATTAATAGGGCAGTTAGAAGGAGTCTACCTGAAGGGCATGGGCGTGAATTGATTGTGTTTTAATGATGTTCAAAAAAATGAAAGGGTGAGAAATATGTATGTACTGAGAGAAGGAGATAGGTAGAGGTAGAATGGGGAAAATTTTCTCACACAAAAAAATGCATGCAATGAAAAGCTTTTACTATGGAGTGGAAAATAGAGGGGTAGTGAGTAATGCTTGAACCTCAGTCTCATTGGAATTGGTTCAAAGAGGAGAAGAACACATACACAGAGCTGCGTATAAAAATGTAACTCATCCAATAGGAAATAGGAAAAGAAGGGGACAATGGAAAGGAAGGGATGATTAAAAAAAAGAAGGCAGAAAAAGGGAGGCAGTGGTTAGAAATAAAATGGACTTGAGGAGGGACAGGATAAAAACAGAGAGAAGAAGCAGAAGAAAATAGGATGGAGGAAAACACTGTTAGCAGTCATAACTGTGAATGTGAATGGGATGAGCTCACCCATAAAACAGAAGCTGATAGCAGAATGGATTAGAAATCAGAATCCAATAATATATTGTTTATGAGAGATACACTTGAAATGGAAAGACACACAGAATTAAAATAAAAGGCTAGAAAAGAATCTAATATGCTTCAGCTGAACTTTAAAAAAAAAGGCAGGAAGAGCGATCATGATCTCAGGAAAAAACAAAAGCAAAAATAGACCTAGTTAAAAATAGACCTAATAGTTTCAGAGAAATGACAAATACTGGAGGGGATGAGAAAAATAGGTACACTAATGAATTGCTGGTGGAGTAGTGAACTGGTCCAACCATTCTGGAGAACAGTTTGGAACTATGACCAAAGTGTTATAAATGTCAAAAAGTTTTACAGCAAGTTTTTTTTAATAAAGCCTCATTTCTCAAATAAATAATGTGTATAAAACTGAGTCAACTTTATAATAATAAGAGCCATTCCCCAATAAATAAATTGTTAAAGGATAAACAGTTTGTTTTCAGAAGAAATTAAAGCTATCTTTTTAATTTGTTTTTAGTTTTCAACATTCACTTCTACAAGATTTTGAATTCCACATTAATTTGTATTTCTCTAATCAATAGTGATTTAGAGCATTTTTATATGACTATAGATAGCTTTATGAAGGGGGGGTGATAGAAGAGAAGGCAGATTAGAGGAAGGGGTACTCAGAAAGCATGCCATCTTTGGGTGGGGGAGGGCTGAGATGGGGAGAAAATGTGGAATTCAAAATCTTTGTATACCCTTTCACCCAGCAATACCCCTACTAAGTCTATATACCAAAGAAATCAAATGGAAAAAAGGAACCCATATGTACAAAAATATTTATTACAGTTCTTTTGTGATGGCAAAGAACTGGAAATTGAGGGGATGCCCATCAATCGGGGAATGGCTGAAAAAGTTATGGCAAATGATTATGATGGAATATTATTGTGCTCTAAGAAATGACAATGGAGTGGTTTCAGAAGAACATGGCAAGACCTATCTATATGTACTGATGCAAAGTGAAATGAGAAGAACAAGGAAATCATTGTGCACAGTAACAACAATGTTGTGATGATGATCAGTTGTGAACTATTTGGCTACTTTGATCAATCCAATGATAAAAGACAATTCTAAAGGACTCATAATGAAAAAATGTTATCCACCTTCGGGGAGAGAACTGATGAACTCTGGGTGTAAACTGAAATTTAATTTTCTCACTTTCTTGATTTTTCTTGCTTTTTTAAAATATGAAAATATGTTTCAGATGATTTCACATGTGCAATTGATATCATGTTTTTTGCTGTCTCGAAAAGGTGGGAGAGTGTGGGAGAGGGAAGGAGAAAATTTGGGATTCAAAAATTAAAAAGAAAAGAATGTTAAAATAAATAATAAAATTTTCAAATTATTTTTTTAAAAAACAGTAACACAGAATAAGGGAGATTTGAAGGGAGAGATAATGAGTTCAGTTTTGGATTACTGACATGGAAATGTGATGAAATATGATAAATCCAGTTCAAAATGCCAAAAAGCCATTTGTCAATACAAGACTGAAAATCAGTAGAGAGACCAGTTCTAGATATGTAGATCTGAAAATCATCTGCATAAAGATGATAGTTGAACCCATAAGAGCTAATGAGATCAGTGGATAAGATAACATAGAGTGCAAAGAGAAGGGAGTCTAGGACAGAGCCTTGGAGATCACACAGGGTTAACGAGAGTGATCTATTTGAAGGCAAACAGGTAGGAGGAGAACCAGGAGATTGCAGTGTCATGAACACCCATGGAGAAGAACTCAATGATATCCTTATGACCCTTATAGCTCTAAATCTTATGAATTCATGTTCCCAGGAGCAGTTTGGCCTTTTGGAATGCAGAAGATTTTTCATGTGGTTCCATAGGAGAGGACAGATAGGTGCAATGGTCTATGGGCTGGAGAATTTAGGGGGGTTACTTGCAATGGCTGCCTGTCTCACAGGGACTTAAACATACAGAAGGACTTTTGAAGAAATTTTAACTTCCCAGGCAGATGATAATTTGAATTCTTTGTTTGAATGCTTTGAATTCTAGTTATGATACTAGCCATTTCTTCTCCCATAAGAGGCTTAATTTCTTCATCTTTAAAATGGGAAGAATAATCATGCTACCTACCTCATAAAACTGTTGTGAA